GGACCGTATAAAGAAGCATATTGAAACTTTTCCTACTACAGAATCACATTATGTCCGAAAAAAGTCTAAAAGGCATTATCTTGACAGCCGTTTATCAATTTCTAAAATGCACGAGCTTTATAAAGAGTTATGGTTAGAAAACTACTACAATCCACAAACACCACAAATCAAGCCACCAAGTTTAACAACATACAAACGAGTGTTTTGTCAAGAGTACAATCTTTCATTTTATAAACCAAAAAAGGATCAATGTTCTCTTTGTGCTAAATACAATGAGGCTAATGAAAATGAAAAAGAAAATTTGAAATTGATTTATGAAAGTCATAAAGAACGAGAAAAATCAGCAAACTTGGACAAATCTATTGATAAAGAAAAAGCTTCAACTAATTCAAATTTTGTGACAATTACTTATGATTTGCAAAGTGTTCTTCAGATTCCTTCAAGTGATGTATCTCCAATGTACTATAGTCGTAAACTTTGCTGTTACAATTTTACAGTATATGAAGGGGCATTGCCTAATAAAGCATACTGTTATGTTTGGACTGAAGTACACGGGAAAAGAGGAAGCAATGAAATTGGTTCATGTTTGTACCGTTACATAAATACACTTGATACAAATGTAACTGGTTTATCTCTTTTTTCTGATACTTGTGGTGGGCAGAATAGAAACAAAAATGTTGCAGCAATTCTTATGTTTATAGTTCAAACCAGTAATCATATCAAAGTTATTGAACAAAAATTTTTGGAATCAGGTCATTCTATGATGGAGTGTGATTCAATGCATAGCTCTATTGAAAAAGCTAAAAAATACACTAGTGTATACACAGTAAATGATTGGTTAAACATCTTCAAGTATGCTCGCTCTTCTCGTCATCGGAGTAATGCTCAGCCTTATGAAGTAATTGAACTTGAATATAATGAATTTTATGATTTAGCAGCATTATCAAATGCATATTTGCAAAATACTGGTATTAACACAAGTGGTGAAAAAGTCAATTGGCTGAAAATAAAAACTTTAAGATATGACAAAGATTATCCAAATCATTTGCTTTATCGTTATGATTATACTGATGAGTTTTGTAAAATAAACATAAAATTAGTTAAAAGAAGGTCAACTGCACGAACCGAGTTTATTCCTAAAGAAGCTGATCAACTTAAAAAAGCTTATACAAGTATGTTACCAATATCAAAAGCAAAGTACAATGATTTGCAAAAGTTATGCAAAAAAAATGTAATTCCTTCACAATACCATGCTTGGTATGCTTCACTCCCATGCACAACAAGAGTGTTAGATTTAAATCTTACACTTGAAAGTGATTCAGATGAGACTTCAGAATAAAGAAGTTATTATGTATTTCCATTAAGTTTTTTTTTTGTTTTAAAATCATTCTATTAATTTAATTTTGAAAGTGAAAGTTATTTAAATTTTATTATTTTTTATTTATGGATTTTAGGATTTTATTTTATTTTGAGTGTTAAATAAAAATACTGAATTTGAAAGTGATTCTCATAAGACTTCAGAATAAAAAAGTTATGTATTTCCATAATGTTTTTTTTGTTTTACAGCATTTTATTAATTTAATTTTTAAAGTGAGAATTATTAATTAATTGTTATTATTTATTTGTTTATGCATTAATACACTTTAGATATTATAAAATTAAAAAATAAATAAATATGATACCTATTGATTATAACAAAATAAAAAAGAACTAATAAATCAATTTTGATGAATTTAGATTGTGCCAGGTCAATAATTACAAACCTGCAAAACACATTAAGTCCATGTAAATTATGCAAAAGTCACTAAGTCCGACTTAGTAATTTGTATTTCAACAATAATAAGAACTATAAATTTCACAGTGTTATATTATTTACAACTACTCATAAACAGCTACTTCCCTTAAGGGAAATTCAATTAAAAAATGAAAGAAAAAAATTTAGTTACACAATATTATACATTTAAAGTTTGAAAAAATTGCAAAAGCTGATTCTGAACAATCATGTTTTTGGACTTAGTGTGTTTTGCATGAACGGGGACGATATGTATTTTTTTTTACCCATAAAATATTAGGTTAAAATAAAATAGGATTTGAGGTATTTGTAAATTATTTATTTTGTTATAGTTCAAAAAATAATTATCTTAGAAATTTAAAATGACGACTGAAAAATGTAATATAAATAATAATGTATAAGTAATTTTCAAAACATATTATCATAGTTAGATTAGATAAAAGATTTTGAATATTTTTGAATGTATTTATTTCATTCGACTTTCTTTTAATTTTATTACATACTAGCTGACCCCGTACATTTCGTTGCTTGTTAAAATGCCAACTCTATATTATTATAATATGATCCAAACTTCGTTTAATTTGTTATTATTAATATTTGGTGTAATATGGTGTTTACAACTTAAACATTTTTATTGATCATCTTGAATTTCAAAAAATGTATACAAACATATCACTTTAAAATGCAATTTTTTTAAAATGCTTTCTTATTGTACGCTAACTTGGTGGAACAAAGGTACTATGAAAACTGTAAGCCTCGAGCTATGATTGTTTAGGCTCTACGTTCATCATTAGTCAGTGAGTCAGAATACATTCGATTATAATTTATATTATATTATTAAAGCTATTCCGCTAGGCATTGCCCGTGAGACTTGCTTATGACTATGCGAGCAGTATTTTATCAGGTAGGCAATCTACTGCAGGTGGATTGCGAACCCCAAGAGATGTGTACGTAAGCTTATAATTTCTACCTCAAAGATATATCAAATTTGTTAGCTAGTATAACCAAACTTCACCACTGAAAAATTATCAATTAATATAAAATACGGCTTTTTATTGATGAATCTCGGTTTTTGTACAACTTCCCAAAGTTGCATTGCGATCGTATATAACAAATCTCAACATCTGTGTTATTTTTCTGCACTGCGCTGTATGATATTGAAAAATATATATTTATAAAGAAATAATTACTCAACTAACTTATGGAATTAAAATTGAGCCTAAAATCTGGTCCACGGTGTACTCTTTCATTTTAAAAAAGAATTAAGATATCTAATTGAATGAGTGATAAAGATATTTTCCATTTTCACATTTATACATATTTATATACATATACAACAGTGTGTATTTTATCGTTGAAAATTCTAGGAATACATACATGTTGGTGTACGCGCGATTATTTTTATCGATTAATTTCTCGGAATAACTGATTTCTACACGCAGATATCAAACACATAATTTGACGGACAAAAAAGTCAGTTTGCAGGTAGCTGGAAATCCTTAAGCCGCTGTGCCGCATATAGGTATACAATTTATATGTTTATATTAATTACTAATTTTTTGCTAACTTTATCAGACTAAATGTATGTTTATGATTATGCCACTCACAAATAATGTGGCTTTTATTGGTAAAATAATTTTTTTAATCGGTTCTTTAGTTTCAGAGATTACCCCGACAACTTCATAAACTTTACCTCTCTATATAATAGTATAGAAAGATATAGATTAATTTTAATTTTTGCAATTGACTTAAAGTAATTATTTAATCAATACAAATTTTATCTAAAATGTACAGATATCTTTTCACAATTTAAAAAAAAAACTTTTATAAACTATTTATATTGGTAAATAAATTTAATTAAAAAATAAAAGTCTAAAGTTATGTGGTTACGTCTGTTTGTATTTCAGTCGTTTGCAGTTTGCCACATTTGTCTTATTATACGACACTATTTTGAAATGACTTGGTATAATTATTATTTCTTTTAAAAAGTTAATTTTTTATTATTTTTTTCTAATTTATTCTTTTACCGGTGACAGCACTAAGTCCAATTACTGTTTCACTGACTACTCGTGACTTTGTGTATGTGTATTATATTTTAATTTTAAGTTTAGTATTTATTAATATTAATTTACAAGCCATAACCATAAAAGTTTATTTTTTATTAATCGTGCCATAAAAAAAAAAACTAGTTCATATTTTTCTGATTTTTCATAAAAGAATGATTAAAATAATTTAGGATTGTACGATTATTCTTAATCTTTAACTATACAGAAATGTCAATAATATTTAGTTTAATAATTAATAGTTAAAGATAATCAAAAAAAAAATTAATTTTCAATTTAACCTACAAAGTTTATAATGTTATATGTAAAAACTAGCAAGTTACCCGTCGTAGCTTTGCCCGCGAAATTTTAATAGATATAAAGAATAAAGAAATAAAGAATAATAATTAATGACAACAATTTTATCATAAAATTTCTTTATATACTAAATTTGATGTATTTTCATTTGGTGCCAAAATTACTTAACTCGTGGTCATACTGACTCTGAAGTATGCCACATACAATTATTCATGTGAAAAAGAGCCTAAAAATTCGAGCTAGAAGCTCACGGCTTACAAGCATTTACTCGTGGATGTATATAGATAATATACGATTTACACAAAAAAATTGTTTTTGCCAATTTCAACCCCTTAAAATTAAAATTTTGAAAAATTCTTTCTTAATGCACGGTGAAATTATAATATTTATTTACCATAAAAATTTCAAATCAATAGCTCTAATAGGTTCGGCTTTGCGTTGATTATGAATCAGTCACTCAGAACAGACTCGTTTATTTACACGGATTAAAACAAAAACGTTTTATATTGAATCTTTTGTACTATCAACAATTATGTTTAGAGTATTTTTAGCGTTCATAGAAACAGTTCATCATTATGGACTGATAACTTTAATTTCATATTTGTATTGATAAACCATTATAAACAGGCTTTTTATTAACGTTAATCAAACTTACCTATTCGATCCATTAGTACATTTTAAAATTTAAACTACTTTATTTATTTATCATATATCTTGTCTTCATAACAATATATAATCTTTTTTTTTTTAATTTAACTTTTGATAATATTTAAATTAATCCTACGCATCTATTTTAAGCCAAAGTACAAATGTATATTATATTGATCGTAAAACATGAAGGAACTTACCGTTGGAGATTGCGAATTTATACTTGGTACTACAGGACAATGTGTTGTGACGTAGTTGAGCTGATTTTGATATTTTATTATTTTTTTCTGAGCTGATGAGTGAGCTCGAAACGAAGTAACGCTGAGTTTCATGATGTCTGTTTAACATACGATTTATACATAAATAAATATATGCATTAATATAAAACAGAACACAATACACAATTTAAAAATATTATATTATCTAAGATTTCGTAACAAATTATGATGTTACAATGAGGTAAATATTGAAAATAATATATTTTAATTTAATATCCAATAAGTAAATATTTTTAAGAAATAATAATTTATTTTTAACAATGAATCTATTACATAACTAATAACTATAATAAACTAATCTGACATGCAACTATCAAATAATTCTATAGTATTTAAAAATTTTAAGCAACCTAATACTGAACTTGATCTTGTTAAAAATATATTTTAGTCAACATGCTTTTAGATTTAACATAAATGTATTAAAAACGAACTTATAGATCTTTTTTTTAATACATTCTTTTAGATATTTATTTTATTTATACATAAATGTTAACTGCTGTTTAAAAAAAAAAATATTCACTACCTATTTATATTATTGACCTATTCATTTCTTTTAATAATTCAAATATTTTTTTAATAGTAAGTTTTTGCAGGAGACTGGTCTAGGGTTTTTTAATATAATAATAAGTTAACGATTGTATACGAAGATAAAAATAGTAAAACATCTTTTAAAATAGCTATATTAAATATTATTTTGATATTGATTAAATTTAAAATTATAATGTTCTTTTATTTTTGCCAAACGATTAGTATAATATTTTGATAAGTTATCGTATAGTAAATATAATCGATTAAATATGATAATTTATAATTTATTTTAAATATAATATATATACAATTATTATAAATTCAAATAATTTCACAACGATACAAAATAATAATTATTATCAATTGCATTAGTGAGTCTTTATTTTATTTATGACCCAAATTTAATGACATGAGCATTAATGCTACTATATTAAACACAATAGGCGCAATATTTTTCCCTTATACACAGAGTTGAAAGTTTTTATTTCTCTTCTAGCCAGTTCTTGTGAATTTTCAGTCGGTCCAGCTATTAAGAAATTACGACAATCTAGGTGGACGGATAATAGGCGGCTATCAAATATCTTATACAACTTCACTCAATACTCAGGACATAGTAATGATAACCACCAACCCATTTCATTTTGGACAAGATTCTATTTGAGAAATATACTGTCTAACTTATCTGCTGGTGTTTCTCAATGCGCTTTACAAATGATTGGTTTATCGTAAATCATTGAAATCCAACATATAAACACTAGAAGATAAAATATATTGCATGTGTAAATCGTTAAAATCCAGTAACTTGGCTAACACACTCAATTTAACGAAATGAAAAAAAAAATTAAAACTATTTAACATTTAATATTGTTTTAAATAGATCAATATTTTCAGTTTAGTAGTTTGCTTATTTTTAAATTTCTATGTTTGTTAATTCATTTATTCATTTTATAATAAAAACGACTTCATTATCATTAACATAAATAGTTTATTTTCTTATATCATCATCCACTTGTTATTGCGATTTTTTAAAAGTAATATAGAAAAATAATTTTCCAGAGATTTCCCTCAAATATAAAAACGAAAATAAAAACAGTAAATTTTTAAGTTAAGATATAATATATTTAGTTATTTGTATAAATTAAATTGATCAAATAACGTTATATTGATTAAGCATTTCTAATTTAATTGGAAATTTATTAGCTGGTATTTTATAATGAACTAATAGTCTATGATATAGCCACATGGGGCAAAAGCCATTCATATTAATAATGACTAAAGATGAAAATTTATTTTTGTCATTTTAAAATGTGTTCATTATTTAATATATAATTATAAATATCTAGATATTTATGTAATTTTTGTTATGTGTTCAATTAATATTTAATTAATATTTTAGTAATCACAAGTAGAGGCACAGGAGGTAAATAGAGTTATTAATAGCATACTATATTCAATACATCGATAAAATATGTATTTTATTGAAGTTCATCTTCCTAATTTATCTATGAGTATTTATTTATAACTTATTGTCTTATTTACAGTATTTTATCATTTTTACAATAGTAAAACATCGAAAATATAACTGTGTTATACGATTGCTATGTTTGTTTCTATTTCTGCAGGATATACATAAATTGTCATAAATAAAAAATTGACTGAAAATCCCTTTTTATATTTTATTTCCCCCTTCAAGACTGGTGGATATTTTATTAACTTAATCTATTAAAAAAACTCATCATTAAAAATAATTTGTCATTACTACTTTTTTGAAGATAAAAACATATTGGATAAAATAGATTATAGTATGATTATAAAAAGCTTACTTTTAGTTATTTATTAACCTTTTTCAATTAGTTTTATAAAAACTTGCAAATAAAGTATCGTGATTCCTAATAATTATTATTCTTTTTAATTTTTATAGACATCAAGCTATAAATAAAAATAACATTGTTAGAATTGGAACATAATTCATCGAATTAATAGCTGTAAAATTCCTAGGTAACTACATGCCATAATACTCTTATATCAGTACCAATTTACGTAAATTTTATGAATAAAAATGTAAAAATAATAAAATAATAAGTAGAAACTATCTACTTAATATTAAATAAAATTAGAAATTCATATCGAGACAAACAAATAATTAAGTGTAATTTTTTTATAAATATTTTAAGATTAAATTTGTATGAAATTACATATTAAAATTATAATTAACAATATTCATTATTTGTTCATAGTTCAGAAACATTATTTGTTGGGACATACAACTTTTATAAGTTTATACATTGATATTTTTAAATGGAATGTTTTCGGCAAAAAATAATGCAACCTACTGTATTACTAATCATTATAAACATAATAATCATAGAAAAATAAATAAATTGACCTAACCTGCTTAATGATATAGGCTGATCACTATTCACTCGTCTACTCAATGATATATCTTTTTATTCAAATTTAACATTCATCACATCACAGTAACCCACTCAATACCATACAGCAGAGCGGTATCCACTTGCCTTTTTTTTTTTTAATTTTTTTATCTTTTAAGTCTAAGTATGTTTATACTTTTAAATGAAACATTGATAGGTATAAGAAAATATTAACTTAATGTTTTTTTAAAACAATTCGTAAAAGAAAACAACACTTTACTATTGAAATATTATTTTTATTTATCTTCATTATATATTATTTTATATTATTATAATAATACTAAATGATTTAAAAATATAAAATTTACTAAAATTAATATAATAAGGTTTAAAAATGTAGAGTCTATTATTTAGTAGTAGTTTTTACAATTCAGGTTTATCTACAGAGGTGCTGCGTATTATTGAATTACGTGAAAACTAGGTAGGTAAGTATTCTCACTTGCACAGTGACCGACATTTAATTTTGCGCAATACATTGAATTATACGGGCATTAAATTAGATTTCATATTATAGAAATCTAAATTGGATGTCATTAATGCGTATTCGGTGTTGTAACCTCATTTTAAATAATATATTATCAATAATACATAAGGAATTACATTTTTAATAAGATCAGATAATAAATACGTTAGAAAATATTAACATTATTTGTAATATATCTAAATAACTATCGAATAGTAATAATATGGTATATGTGATTAAAAATTAAAAAATAAAATAAAGCAATAAATTTCAAATTTATTCCAGGGTGTCAACTGGTTTAAAATAAATAATAGGTATATATTTTTAAACCGACGAAAAAATATTTATGATACCGAGTAAAATTACATAAATATATTTCATAGTTATTATATACTAAAAATAAAAAAAACGGGTAAATAAAGTATAGGTGTAGTAGGTATCGGGTATAATTCGTCATTGAATAAGTTATAGTAATGGATGAGCTACCAAAAATGATTTTGATTAAAAATATTAATATAAAAAATGTATTTAGTTAGTAGTTACACCATTGATAATAGAATATTGTTTAATCAAAAGTAATACAACATGAGAGACTAATTCATGCCAAAAACGAGTCACATAATATATTATATTATTTAATAATAATTTATATTATATTATTCCATACAATATTTCTAGCAATTTATAACTAGATCAAAACCGGGATACGTTATTTTTTTATAATGATATATCATTGAATTCAAATTTAATTGATCAATCACAGCGACACCTACCATACAGAGGTGCAATAACCACTTCTCAGCATTTTTTTATTGTAGCCTCATTATTATTATTTAAAATTTATAGTTTTTTTTTTTTTAATTTGTATTAAATGGTTTGAGAATAATTTTCAGTTTGTTATTCATTTGTAATATTATTAGCACTTTATAACACAAAAATACAAAATAGCAACTTACGCATCACTATTTAATTTTAAATGTAATAATTCCTTCAATACTATTTGATTCCATAAAATTGAAAAAATTTAGGTATTCAATTAACCAGTCAAATAATGTTTTAAACTTAATGTTATTTTATATTTACCTACGGTAGTTCATACTTTTAGTCAATACACGGTGTAATTTATATTAATAGTTTTTATTCGTAAATAAAAACACTGTTCAAATAAATTGTTTAAACTTTTACTAAATACAAATTTCAATATAGGTACCTAATTTTAAAGACATAATATGAAGTAGGCTTAAAACCCAAAAATACTCATTTATTTATTCTAAGTATACAGTGTTCATATGCTAAGACAATAGTGATCGTAACAAATAATGCGAAAATTAAGAAAGCAAATACTGAAAAAATAAGGAAAAATATTACCTTTTTAGAGATATTAAATAGACACACAATGTGAACTGAGGTAAAAATATGCTTAAGCATATGAGAATAAAACATTTTTTATTTATTATCCAGGTAATATATTTAAAAAACAAAATTAGTTTAATAGATGACCCCGCACCCACATGTTTATTGACAAATAAGGTAAGTATATGTGTCAAATTTTATGTTTTGTCTAGTACAACTAATTTTGTGTTGTTTGGTTTAATATAAAAATGAATTTACCTATTATTAAACTTAAAAATAAGAATATAATTTAAAGCATCTCGTAGGTTTTTATTGATTTTTTTATTTTAAATCAATTACAACAAAGTAAAATATAATTTTATTATGCTCGTAATAACTCATTTCAAAACCAAAATGTAAATAAAAGTCTACAAAATTCCCAAGATTATATTCTTTTCTTTAAATTTGACTATAATAATTACTTTTACTCTAATAATAGAAAATTAGTTCTATTGAACGCAAATTTACTATTTATATGTTTTTAAGACATGCGAATAAGGCACATAAGGGCAGATAATAAGATCATTTTTTTTTTTAATGTACTTTTTACAAAACTCAATCATAACTATATTATATATCAAAGTATAAATATAAATATTAAAAAAAATATATTTATTATTTAATATTTAGCCTACACTTATTAATTCATAAACCTAATCACTCAAAATGATTATTATTGATTATAAATTTATTATAAATAGATATATGAGTTTAAAAAATTAAAAAGATACACGTATCTACGTTTACTTATAAGTAAATACAAGTTTGTATTTAGAATAATAATGTATTGAATCAAAATTCTATTCCCCAGATTTTGAATAGCAATCAGTAAAGAAAATCATTAAACTGTTACCCCCGAAAATAAAAAAAGTTCTTTGTTAAAATATATTTCTATGCTTGTATTTTTAACTAAACAAAATTAATTTGTTTCTTTATTTCATAATAATATCATCGTTAATTTATATTATCAAATTTAGAAACTAATACCCCAAAGAAAATAACGGAATAAAGAAATATATAGAATATAGACAATATAGTATCGCAATTATTATAATTAATAGAAATTACTTATAACTGTCTAAAATAAAAATACATACTTCACAATTTTAAAATTATATAACATAATTTTAACAACTTGGGATATTTTTTTATTTCAAGTTATCTCAATAATTATAATTCGTCATAACTATACATTATAAATTTAATAAATAAATAAATAAACTCGATTTTAAAATGGTATAGAGAAACTAATATTTTTAATAAATAAGTACCTAAGTACACGTATACAATTTAAAAATTATATTTATAAGCTACAGTTTAGAACATTTAAGTTTTAAGAGTACTAATTTCATTTAAAAACGGAGGGAAAATATTTTACCATGTAGGTCATTAGTCAATGGTTTGGTACAACAGCAGTATCATATGGATGACACTTTTTGTATTTATAAGACGTTATGGAGATCAATAAAACGGCAGTGTTTGTAATACACGTCATGCATCATTAATTATTCTGACCCGAATGGCGAATACTGTGTTAAAACTAAAACAGTAAAAATGTCTACTTTATATGGGTTAATTTAAAAAAACCCATAATCTTACGTGTGAAAACTGATAACTTCTTAAAAATACAAATTAGAGATCTCATTAATTTGACTAGATTATGTTTTAGTTTTAATCAGAATATTATTTTGCTATTGCAAATAACATGAACATTATTGAAATTTCTTTTTTAACTTTAAATTATTTTAAAATTCTTTTCGGAGAAAATCTACGCATCACAGTAACATTATTTGAAAACTATAAGACTTGTATTTAAAAACTAAAATAGTATTATTTTTTCCTAGGTAACTTATTTTATGGTAGCTATAGTAATATAACATAAATATGCATGCAATACGATTACACTCTTATAGTAGTTTCATATAGTTACCTTTTATACTTGATTTACGAAATCATCTCTGTAATCAGTATTATTGAATAGCAATAATTTTTTTTTTTTTTTTTTTAAAAATTTCAATCTGTAACAGAAAATAATGTAGAATAAGTTTTTTTATTCTTGTCAATGAAAATATTATATGTATATGGAAAAGATCTTAAATATATTATACTCGTTGACCAAAAATGTATGTACCTGCTTTTTAAAGTTTTTTTTTCTATTAGAGAATGGAAATATTAAAATAATATGGTGAATATAAATATTAAATAAAATAACCACAATTAATGTTTATATTTAATTTGAACTTTTTGTTCATTCTCAATTACCTACATTATTGCAAAGAAATTTTCAAACAACCATTTACTAAAAAGTTCTTTTTAAATCGTTTGAAATGCTTTCAGATACCCATTAAAAATTCGTCAAGCCTTTAAAAATAAACCAAAGAAATAGTAACAATGAAAGCGTTCAATTTATCTTACAAGAAGGTGTTTACCACTTTTATTCTTCTTAGCATCATTTTTTTTTTAATCAGAAGCATTCATAAATTCTTAATATATTGTTTACACTTTTAATATAATGCATTATATGCTTATACCAACCTCACTAATCTAAAAAAAAAAATGTAATAAGCAATCAATACTATAAATATGAACATTTTTTAATGTTGTATAGAATATTTATTTAAAACAAATTATTAATTAATTCCAACAAATAATTTATTTTATTAATATTTAAATGAAAAAGTATCTGGTCAGCAATTTTTACTTGGACAATATTATACTATCGCTTAATGTTGATATATGCCCTAAAATCTAATAATACGTATGTCGTGTATTTTGTTAAAAATTTGAATGTACCTAGCAATACAAAATTAAGACTTTTGAGAAATATTTTCAGAACCTAAAACTTAGTCTGTATATAACTATTCGGTATTTCATTTTTTATATTTTTCTTATATTGAAATGAATATTTTACTAAAGTTTTTTTTCGTGTTATAAAATATTTTTATTTCACAATCTGTGAAACAGTTTACAATAAGCATAAGTGATGTAATTTTTTTTTTTTACTAAGGTTTAGCTTTAATTTTACACATTTATCTATATACATAATTATATTATTCAAATAACACTCATAATAGTCGCTGAAACGTATAAATAATTGTATATCCCTACAATAATAACCTGTGAATAAAATTAGTAAAATGATGTGTGTGTTACCTTAACGTACTGATCTCAGCTGATAATCTACTAGAAACAGGCGTGTAATGTGTATTGATAAACAAGACGTAAGCAAATGCAGTGAAAAAAGATTTTGACAGTATTTTTCTAGGACTTTCCAATGTAAAACACTTTACGTAGTCACGATCGTTTACGCGAAAGCAGTAAATTTGAGAATCGTTGAACATCGGGCAGCCATCTTTTTCTATTAAGACTAATAACGAAAAAACTGCTGTTACCCGCTTATGAGTAGGTATGTGAGTAAGAAATTGATCATGGTCACAAAATTTAAAACACAATCGAATCGATGTAATTTTAAAAACAAAATTTAAGTACAAGACTCATTTTATTAGAATTTTCTTACACTGCACACCGCTACTGTTAATAAGCACCAACTTGGTCTAATAACGCAAGAATGATAGTTTAAATCTAACAGCATAACGGGCATGGAAGAAAATATTGGAAAGCACTGTGTTTTTTTTTTTTAAACTGAATGACCTACCAAAGAAAACATTATGGTTATTCACTCAACAACATTTATACGTACAATAGTCAACATGATTGATTTTCATATGGTTTACATAACTATAGTAAACAAACAACTGTAATAATTTTTGTTGGTAATTTTTGGTTAGAAAATTGCGGCCGCCAACTCACTATTCACTATTATTTTCGTACCGTCCGTTTCTCAATGTTTCTTGATCAAAAAGTTTTCATGTTTCTCGTTTTAAACGAACGCATTAAATACAAAATTTTTTTTGCTACGCGATAATATATTAAAAATCCGATTATTAAACATATTCTTAAGAATCATTGCATCTCTAGGTTTATCCCAGCCCGTTACCCCAATTGCCGAGGGTGGTTAGCTGAGGTTTTAAAATGCAAATTTCAATTTATTTACATATAGTATTTTATTAATAATTAATAATCATACTCATATTCATATTTAATAAATTCAATTATTCTATAATAACTAAAAGACAAGTTATAAAATATACCACTAAGAAATAAATATCTAGTTTAATTATTAAAATTCTTAATAATTACAAACAATACGATATTAATCTTAAATAATAACATAAGATTTAAATTTAAAAAACATATTTTAAGCATTTTACGAGAGAGGAAATGGTCGAAACTGTAATTTATACATCTTTACACTGCTGTCCCCGACTTCGCATTCCAATATGCGAATAACGTTGTCGTATCTATGCAAATAACACGTATAATAAATCTTCAAAAAAACTTGTATTACCTATTGTTATGTTTTCATAATTTGATAGTAATTTTTTAATATTATTATATAATAGAATAAACAGTTATATATTATTAACGATTTAGACTTTTAACGAACTGTCTGCAAACGAACGCGTTCCTTAATATTTGCCTTGATGCCTAATAAGAAAATTACAGCGACACTATAAACATGAAAAAATGATTGCGCCAAAAACGAGGCATTCACTATTGTGTTTCACCCACGATGCCGGTGCCAAAAATAAATCCGTAAGATCACCCGACCTGCAATCGTCGTCCGAGTGACCCGTTTGTGATGCATGGCGTTTCTTCGTCAACCGTTGTTGTTCCGAATTCCCTACGTTGGAAACAGTGGAATGAAAGAGCTCCTTAGACGATACCACGGTCATATTATCCCTCTTCCTCTAGCGGAGGGGGTATTGGTACAGAAGTGATCCCTTAGTTAACGCGCCAAATATATTTCGTATCGTCGTCGATCCGACCGGCGGCGTCGATTAAAGCTCATAAGCCTTTTACAAACAGCGCAGTGTGTGTGTGTGTGTGTGTGTGTGTGTGTGTGTGTGTGTGTGTGTG